GTAGTTTTTGGGGAATTCAAAGTTGATAAAACAAAAAAAAAGTTAAAAATGTAGTTTTTTATATATGTTATATGAACATAACAATGTAGACATTACTGTCTTACTAAAAATGAATAGTGAACTTAATCAAAATTGCCAATGCACAAATAGTGTGTATTCCTAAAGAAAAGACAAGCAATTTCCAATTTCAGATCCAGAAAGATAAATGTGATGGGAGTTTTAGGATGTATGTGGTTGTATAGTACTTGCGTCAATACGGTTCATTTTCATACAATTAAATATTACCAACGCAGAAAATATTAAAGAAATAATAACGTAGTTAATTATCCATTTATATAAAAATAGATTTGTAATAAAGAATATTAATACCCTACCCATTTATACTAAAATAATTTGTAACAAAGAATATTAAAACGAATATTTTAAAAACTACAGAGGCTTTTTAATCTTATCAAAGCAAAATTTTCGATGGGCGATAAATATACGATCAAATACACACCGACAATGTATACGATATTATATATTAAGATAGTTAAGTTAATTTTAAGTTAGTTCTTTATTAAATATTAAATTAAACACTAAACCGCATACTTACTTGCGAACAAGCGGACTAATTCAGAACAAATCAACATTAGACGATAACTAACATAAAATCACAAAAATAATCACAAAACTTAACAAATTTTAAAATCAAAATGAAAAGTAATGATTATCGAACTACAAGATCTCTAAATCAAGTATTATTTTATAGTAATCTATTATGATATTATTATGAAACAATATACTGACTGGCACAAAAAAACGACTCACTATGATTTCTTTAAATAAATAATCTTAAAATTATATTTATGTTTATTTTCGGCCAGAAACAGGTCGCCAAAGACCCTACTTCTTAACATAGCAATACTACGTAACAGGGCCATTACTGCCGTTGAAGTCAGGGATCGCCTGACAGGACTGTCAGGAGACGCCTCAATGAAACTGATATCATGACCAGAAGACCTGCACATGGCCCAAAGCTAACCAGGCAGCATCGAGTAAGCAGACTTGCATTCGCACATGAACATGTGAATTGGGTTATGGAACCGTGGAGCCAAGTATTGTTTACAGATGAGTCCCGCTTTTGCTTACGAGTTTTGTTTGACGGATATTCTTTGCCAAAGAATAACTTAAATAACACGTATCAATAAGACATGATACCAAAAAAAAATTCTAAGACAATTAATTACTTAAAATTAAAAGTGAGTCGTTTTTTGTGCCGGTCAGTGTAGATAATAGACGTAGAAAATCGGACGTAATGTTACAATGAAAATGTGTGAAACATCGGGGTCCAACAATTTTGCATGTCATACGCGATATGCACGCACACATATACACCAAGATCCGACAATCCGCGCCAGTATCCAGCACGAAGAGCTGTAACATTAAGTCCGTATTTTGTTACGTTTTAGTAAATTTTAAATAATGATTTTTTTTTATTATTATCTTAAAGAAAAACAAGCACAGTCAACATAATAATATAGCATATTTTATTATAAATCTGTCCTAACTGAATAACGGGTCTATATTAATAAGTTAAAATTAAATACCTCTATTTTACTGTTGCATAACGATGATCCGCATATTTATAAATTCGCATATTAGCCTGCATCTAGCCAGCCAGCCACATATAGTTTTAGTAATGAATAAATTGAACACACCGAAGTTTAACCAACCACAATCGGTTGCAACTAGTTGTAGCGTTGTAACCTAGGTGTACCGCACTTAGGCTATTAACCGTTACATATGTATACAGAATAACTACTGACCATAGCTTTGATAAGTATAACATTAGTTTTAAATATAAATATTTAAAAAAAAAACATAATTATATGTCTATTATGTTCGTTTAAAAAAAATAGACCGCATAGTGAGATATGCCCTGTTATCATATTTAAATGTTGGCGGCTTTTACCTACTGGCAATCACATTCGCAGTATTTTTCCTTTGTTTTGATGTGTTTTTTTCTCTAAATTTTATTTTATTATCTTTCAACCAACCATAATTACAGTTATGTTTGATAAAGTTAAGTAATTTTTTATAACTCAAATCGCAGTTATACGAGTACCTAGTTGATTTTGTAAATTACGTTTCATACTATTTTATTATTAGACTAATCAAATGTCTGGTATGCGGAGTTATAAGACAATTTGTGTTATACTATACAAGGGACACCACTGAATAACAAATACAAAGTGGTATGAATGCACATAATATACTATATTGATAATTACGTAAAATATTATTATCAGACGTGTAATATGGTGAATATTATGTAATACATATATATGTACGTTTATTGAATCAAATTAATACATTTCTATAAAATACTTATAACAGACCCGTATTATAGCATCTTCCCAGTAACATTGACCTCTTTTATGTTACTAAAATTATACAAAAGATATATTATCCTACGAATTCCAATTAAAATAAATCTACAAGTCTAAAGAAAAAAATGAAACATGACGAAATTAATCAATTGAAAAAAAATCAATTTCATGTTAGCAAAATCCTATCACTTGAATATAAAGATAACTTTTTCAAATGTAGATAGTTACAAAGTGTGTATTAAACGTGAAAAAATCTTTGCCCTGAAAATAACATTCTTTGGTTTCGTTTATAAGAATTTGTAGGTGGTTGCTGATTATTTGTTTTATTGTTACCTAGATATTATCCGACCATATTAAAAATATACATGACACATGGTGTATAAAACTGATGTACAGTATGTTTATAAAGCAATAATCTTATATGATCCTAGAATGTTTAAAAATGCATTTTTATTCTTGACTATATCCAACAACGTCATTTTGCAACAGGTAATGGAATTAATACATAAATCTGATGATAATCAAAGGACTTTTTTACAAGAGGGTACAATGCCAATTTCATAGTACATAACTCATATACAACTTCATATGTTATGTAATATTTCTAATCTATCTATAAATTGATTCGTAATAATTTTTTTATTATGGTAACCCTGTAACTAACATACTATATCGAACTTGGCAATATCCTTCAACCATATCTAGCCAATCGTTACTTAAAGCATGAATAAAGAAAAAGAACTTGAAAGCAATCATATATTCAATTATATAACGAGTCATTTTTACCGTCTGGATTTAAAAGATGTAATATGTGAACGAAGTAGTAGTCTATGGTTTAGATATTTTTCAAATTTCTAAATAATAAGGAGTACCCTACTACCCTACTTTACTTGTGGCAAGTATTGATGAATTTAAAAGGCTTTTAACCTTGAACCGGCCGCTCAGTAAAAGTTTACTTCAACTTTGTAGTATTTATTGATAGATCAATTTGATAAAATTGTCAATAAAAAATAAACAATAAATTTGAAAAATATCTATGTCATAGATTTCTACTTCGTTCACCCATTACAACCTTTTTTCCTCACAATAAACAAGCCTGTCGTTATAAGAAATACAATTATTAAGTGGCGAAACTTGCGAAGTCACTTATTGATTTCACGATGTCAGTCCCACGATTATCTCGAGAACGGTTTCGAATTTTCAAATTCTGTTTTCAGCAATCGATTACTGATCACCCAGGCATCTGAACCTCCTATTTTGAAACTGATTGCTCAACGGCAACCGTTAGAAACCGCTACAAAGCTGATTGCTTCGCCACTTTGCTATGCTGTTAGCTTGCTAGGTTTATTATTTAGCAAAATCAATGCATAAGAAACTAATAACATATAATATTTAATTCGAGTTGCATATTTATAACTATTAAACAAAAATAAATGTGGCAGAACAACACCTATTATGATAATGTTACGTTAAAAAAGCATATACATAGGTACATACAATCTATTTTTTATTTGTTTAATATTCAGGTTTTTTTTGTCAGGTAAAATTTATTTAGGTGCAAACACATATTTAATTTATATCTAAACCATTCTCATTTCAAAATTTTAGGACAATATTGATGGGTTGAAATTGACGCCTAAAAGACATTACCCCTGAAGTTTCTACAACCAAATATTCCTTTATGTTTGTGTGTACACTATGGCACATGGCAGTAATACATATTATGCTCTGCACAAAAACATAAAGAGCTTAAGTTTGTGAATCTAAACCATATCCTTATACAGTTTAGACATTCTTGAGAATAAAAATCGTCATACAAAATATCATTGTATAATTTTAATCTGGAACATTTTTGGTATGATAAAGAATAGTGGAGCACACATCGAAATTAAAATAACACATTCATGTTAATATATTATATACAATGAACTTATATCTTAAATTAACTTTCATTTCTCTATTGTAAATAGATCAACTAAATTCAGCTACGTTTATTATAATAACTGCATTGTCTGTCTTGATATACAATAAAAACAAGTGCTGAAATATGGATGTTGGCAACAAATATCAATTATCATAATACGAAACAGTTATATGTTAAAGTATCGTCATAACTATAAATATAACAAGACAAACAAACACAGCATCAGACTAGAACAAAATATAATACGGTCTACAACACAGCAAGTTATGTCCCAATTTAGGATATTGTTGTCAAAGGTTTTAATAAAGTATATTAATAAATAATACAATACAAATATATATGACAAACATATATATGGCATACAAAATAAATGACAAATAAATTAATTAGCTCAAATAAACTAAAAAAAATAACTTACCCTTAATATGTGGACCATAATACAAGGTGCTTACCTGGCAACATTTGTAGGCACAACTTGTATGCATACAATAAAATTCGATTCGTGTCTCTGTGCTATATAAAATAGGAGTTAACCAGCTCATACATTATATAGATACATTCTTGAGGTTACAGGCTAAATATAAATTTAATAAAATAAATAATAATATTAGACTACTTAAGACATATCCTTTAAGTGTGAACCGTACAAGAATCTGTAACATAGATAACATAATTAAATACATTAAATACCGTTTAAAGCGTGTTTAAGGAACCATGTTGAGAATATTCCGATTTTCTAGCGATTCCTTGAGGGCGTAGAATAATTGTAGTTGTTGTTCCGGCTTCAAGTTATATACCTGGAAAGAGTAGAAAGTAGCAACATTATAATTAACATAAAACATAAACACTCACGCCTGTCACCCAGAGGGGTAGGCAGAGATTATGGACTTCCATTTGGCACGACCCTGACACACCTCTCTCGCTTCCTCCACATCCATATACCTACGCATACACGCTCGTCGGTTAAAATTCTCTCATCTCCGGGAGGAAAACCGGCGACGAGGTTCGCCACCCGTCATGTTCTGTCCCCCGGAGGGGCGAAAAGTGGATTGCGGAAGCCCGTCTGGCTACATTGAATGTATGTGGAGGAATGAAAGATTATAATTAAATAATTAAAAATTAAAAATGTTGTACAGCCGACTTCAATATAAGTTACTAAGAATAACTCAAAAACTATTGGTCTGACCTTAATCAAATTCATATGGGACCACACTAGAAGTACAAGCTTTCAAATAAAAAAAGAATCACCGAAATCCGTTCACCCGGTAAAAAGTTATGAGGTAACACACATAAAAAATAGTATGAGGTAACACACAGTCGAATTGAGTACCGTCTCCTTTTTGGAAGTCGGCAGAAAACGTCGTGGTGACGAAAAAGAAACAATCATCCCATTTCATCCCATGAATATCGTAAGGCCTGGTTTCCGCTATTCCGGACCGGCCCACTACAGGAAAGCCTCATGCAAAGCCATCTCATAACTGTTTTAAAATTATAAATTAATATACTATTAGAAATAGTTTGTTTTAGGTATTTTTATTTTATTTTGTATGTTTAACATATTAAGTATATAAGAGCATCAAATCTTAATCACGTTCGATTAGATGATTTTGACGAAATACGTTATTACGATCCAAAGCCCATTACTTGAAAGTTTTCCAAATAAATATAAAAGTATTATACATTTTTGGAATGCTTATATGCTTTTCCAAATGTTTCGTAAATAATATTATATTATATTAATTAAACAAAAAAATAACAAATATAGATTAAGATGGTAAATTTTTACACATTTTTTAACAAAAGATTTACCTCTTACCGATGCTTGCCGATGTCGAAGTATTTATTGCATTAAGATCTTCACACATTACTCTGTTTAGGGATAAAAATAATTTGCTCTTACTTGCTCCTTTTTTGATATGGATCCAAAATAGGTACATCGAAAGATAAAAATCAATTTATTCAAAAGCTTTAATGTTTTTATAAAATACCATGAATGACGGTGTATTTATAAATTTATTGAAATTAAATATGTTAAACAGTTCTCAAGACCTAATTTACCTGTGGTCAAAAAAATTATGTCTTGAATTTGATATCTATTTTGGTCAAAATTTTTAACTGAAAATATTTTTTTTTTAATAAAGACCCTATATATCCAAGTATACGTATGTAAAATTACAGCTTAATTCATTTATGAAACAACTGAAATATGAAGTTTTGAGACGAAACAGACCCGGTTTTCACAGTGTTGCCCAGCAGTACTAGAGGCCGAATAATTTGTATGAAACTGTTCACAATTTAGCCGACAGTGCAAATGGCCGAACAATTTGCATGAAAATGTTCACAATTTCGCCGCCAGTGCAAAAGGCCGAACAATGTGTATGAAACTGTTCACAATTTTATCAGAAGATTTGTCATTGCGAAACACCGCAATACACCCGAAAGAGGCAATTATGGGAAAAGCAGCAAATTGTATGACTTCCGGTAGATGACGGAATAACCATTTCTTTTGAGGCAGGCGTACGTTTCACCGGAAATAAAATAAAATTTTACCAAACAATTATTGTATTATACATTACCTGTTGCAACAGTTTCTGCGGCGTTGCGGTGCGTATAAAACTGGTAATGTATACATTCACGAATGTTGCCATAAGGAACTGACAGTCGAAACGATCCATGATGCCTCCGTGTCCAGGAATCACGTCACCAAAGTCCTGAAAAAATTACTCTTTTTAAACTTTGATTAAGTTAAAATTACCGTACAATTATGAATGAAAAAATTAATGATCTTTTTTGAGCGTTCGTTGAATGTATAATTAACATTTACACATTAGTATTTTCAATTAACATAGCTTTGCCAAATTGATACTATACATTTTATAGTTTTAATTTGCTTAGCACCAGAAATACAAGTGGTACATTAAAATTATTGTACAACCGCCTTCAATATAAATAATTCTGGACACGGCGGCCAAAAGTACTTAAATCAATTTTTATATAAATTCTAAAAAGTCACAGCAATCGTGTTTTTGTATCATCCGTCGACTGGAAGAAGCGCGTAAGTCTCCGACGCTTAATTTAGACGCAACAGCCGACTGTACCATATCACTTATGTTTTATTAACACATCGAGCGGCGAAAAAAATTACTTAAATTAACTTACGTCTTTTTATACTGCAAGCTGACTGACTTAAGTAGTTTTTTTACAATGGTCTGTTTTTGTTCTTTATAATATTTTCAAGTACCTACCCTCTTTTTTAAGGGTCTGATAAAGTGGTAAATTTTAGTTAAGTCAAAATACACATTTCTTCATTAGTTGTTATTTGTTTCTGTGTAACGGTGGGGTATACGTTAAGTTAACTGTGTCGCAATGGATTCAAGGGCCAGAAAATTGGTGAATCTCGCCATAAATAACGACAGTGCAGCAATGAAGAAAATACAGGTATGTTGTGAACTTCTTTTTCCTGCTCTTATCCCAATAATTTGTGTCGGGGTAAAAGTTTTTTGATGTGAACGTTAGTTTATCATTTTATTACAATGGGTAAATATGCAAAACTGTTTAATAGTTGTAGTTGAGATAACCACACCTCTTTAGAATTTTTTTTTTTTATATTTAAATACATCACAGTTTCCAATCTGTTGTCAGTTTTTATTATTGTTGTTTTTTACAGGTGACGAAAACCCATTTAGTAATCCACAACCAAGTACATCTGGAACCCAAAAACAAACTACTTTAGATGAAAAAGTAAGTGACTTTTCTAGTGACGATTCTGTGGCCGATCCTAACTACTCTCCAGGCAGTTCTATCTTACACAACATAAAGAAATGGAAATTGCTTTTCCTAATGCATCGGTGGATATACATATAACGCCAGACAATGAGACACCTGAAAACATTGGAGATATTTCATTGCTACAACAAAACCAACCAGTGTCCTGTAGAAAAAAGAAGCAAGAAAAAGAAATTAAAAAGAAATCTTGGCCAATCTTATGTGACAGCTTCTGGGAAAACTATTGGAAAACATCAAATAAAGGAAATACCTAACTGTCGGAATAAGTGCCGACAGAAAATAAGTGATGAGCAGCGCGCTTTGATACACAAGGAGGTTTGGAATCTTGGGTCTCACGATTTAAGGGCAGCATTCATTTCATCTTTGATCACTATCCAAGAGAAAAAAACTGAAAGTCTTCGAGTCGAAGATCCTGACAAACAAAAATGTAGACAGTACACTTACAAGTACAATTTAAACGTCAATAGTGAAAAAATATCGGTGTGTCAAGGGTGTTTTCTAAAAACCCTATCAATAAGTGATAATTTTGTTAAACTAATCGGGTTGAAGAAACGTAGCAGCTCAAGTGGGAAACGTGGGAAGAATACACCACCAAACAAACAAACAAACATTCTGAACAAAAAATTGAAGAGGTGATTAATCATATCAATTCGTTTCCGCTTTATGAAAGCCACTACACTAGACGCAAAAGCACCCGGAAATATATACCATCGCATTTGACAATATCAAAAATGTATTCTTTTTATTCAACGTCACCTCCTGAAAGTGACAAGATTTACCGCAGAGAATTCTACAAATTAAATTTAAGTTTCAAAAAACCAAAAGTGCACACATGTCACACTTGCGACCTGTTTAAAATGAAATTAAACATTGCTAATGCAGACGAGACGAAAAAATCTGCTCTTGAAACATAACGTGACGCACACTTGCTAGCAGCTGATGTGGCTTACAATGAGAAGAAATTTGACAAAAATACCGCAGTTACAGATAAAAAAATCAAGTGTCTGTCTTTTGACCTACAACAATGCTTGCCAACGCCAGCTTTGCAATCATCTTTAGCCTTTTACAAAAGACAAATTTGGACCTTTAATCTTACAATACATGACAAGGGAACTGGAATGTCAACTCACCAAACAGTGGTAGTTACAGTAGTGGTAGTAACAGTGGTAGCGCCACGCGGCAGCTTTTGCTGTCTCACGGATGGGCCGGCTCGAACCGGGGTGGTACCACGACCTCACAGAAAACCAGCGTGAAGTAGAGGTTTACCTCTGCGTTTCGCTTGGTGAGTGCAGGTGGCCGGAGGCCCTTTTTACTGGAAATGAGGCATTCCATCTTAGTTCTCACGGGTGACAACGCATCTACATTTTGATTTGTAATAGATAGATGTAGATGTCTATGGGCCGCAGCAACCACTTACCATCAGGTGGACTGTGTGCTCGTTTGTCACCGTTATCCTATTAAAAAAAAACCACATGTGGCATGAGGGAATTTCGGGTCGAGGAGCTAATCAAAGCTCAAGGTCACTCAGCGAGCTATGGAGAGGGCTATGCTCGGGGTTTCTCTGCGTGATAAACTTAGAAATGAGTATATCCGCAGTAGAACCAGAGTAACCGACATAGCCCAACGGATTAGTAAGCTGAAGTGGCAGTGGGCCGGCCATATAGCCCGAAGACAGACAACCGATGGGGAAGAAATGTTCTTGAGTGGCAGCCTCGTACCGATCGGCGAAGTGTAGGGCGACCCCCCACGAGATGGAGTGACGACCTGGTAAGACATGCAGGAAGTCGATGGATGCAGGTGGCTCAGGACCGTGCTTTGTGGCATTCCTTGGGGGAGGCCTATGTTCAGCAGTGGACTTATGAAAGGCTGTAATGATGATGGTGATGATGATGAGCTAATCAGATAGACTCTTGTTTGTTTTTATATTTAAAAGAACTTCCTGAAGAAGTTTTAGAAGTAATTTTGTAATCTGATACTTGCGGAGGACAAAATAAGAACACCCATGTGGCTGCAATGTTTACCTACTTACTAAGTTAATAAATCATAAATTTATGGTACCTGGTCATACACATATTATAGAGGTGGACTTGGACCATGCAATTTTAGAAAAAAAAAAAAGAAAAAAACTGAAATTGAAATTTATCACCCACATGATTGGATGCAATCAGTCAGGTCGAGCAGCAAAAAATTTACAGTTAAATAAATGTGCCAAGCAGATTTTTTTGACTACGCTGGATTATTGAAAGGGCCGTTAGTAGCCCGAAAAAAAGACAATGATGGAAATATTTTCAAATGGCATGATGTGAAGTGGCTGTGTTACAAAGCTGAGTATGGCGTCATAAAATACAAAAAATATCTGTCAAGAGATGAATGTTTCAAAATTATTAATTTCAAAGGGAGCACGCGACTATAAAAGGAATTTAATTTGATGCAGATTACTGCAAAGCCGATACCAATAAGCATTGAAAAAATACGTGACGTAATATCATTTTTACCTTTAATACCGGAATGTTTCCATAATTTTTACCAGAATTTAGTAATTGCTGCAGACACAACTAACGTTGATCCAGATATATCAAATTGTGAAGAAAGTAGCTTTTAGTTTATTATTAAACCTTAACTAATAATCATTATTATAATTATTAAATATTATTGATAGTTGATTTTTATATTCTTAAACATTAATAAGTTACGTAGTTGTATGGTACAGTAATAAACACTTAAGTTGCAATTTCTTTGCGCTCATAAAAACTTAAGTCAGATATTTCAGATAATAATAAATTAGTTTGAAATAAACTAAATTTAACGTGTAACTAGTTCGTGATAATGTATTAAAAACAATAAAAATAAAAACCGTACTACATTTTTTCACACCAATCGAATATAACCCTCCCCTGTAGAATTTTTGCATGCAAAAAGATTTGACTTAAGTGCTATTAACTTCCGAGTCTAGAATTTAATGTTGATTTTTTTTAAAACCGCTCGACCGATTTCGATAAAATTTAAATGGGACCACCTGGGAAGTATACCCTTTGAAACAAAAAAGAATTTTGCAAATCGACTACATTCACCATACGAAACACAGCAGCAATGATAGACAGCATATAAATATATAATATTATACCTATATAACACACACACACACACACACATTATATATATATATAATTACAACTGACCTTGATCTTAAAAGCTCGTTTGAAACCAGACGCGAAGAAGCCTCCAAAAGGTCCAATCACCGAGCTGAAGATGCTGAGGGCGAGCGAGTGGATCATGAATGGGTACATGGTGATCGTCTCTCTGCCAAACTGAAACAAACGACCAAACGAATTTTTGAAAAGGAATTGAACTGGATATTATTATTATTTAACAATTTAATCTCACTATTGTCCCATGTTGGGACTATTATGGGACTAAGGCTATTATATGTGGTAAAGCCATGCTGCATCTATATCATGGTTGTAGCACGAATGGGTCGGCTCGACCGGGGAAGGACCACGCTCTCACAGAATACCAGCGTAAAATAGAAGCTTAACGCTGCTGTATTTCGTATGGTAAGTGTAGAGAACCGGAGACCCTTTTTACTGGAAACGAGGCATTCCATCTTAGTCCTCACGGGTGACAACGCATCTGCATTTTGACTCTTAATCGAAGATAGATCTAGATGTCTATGGGCCACAGCGACCACTTACCATCAGGTGGACTGTGTGCTCGTTTGTCACCCTTATCATATAAAAAAAAACTATAAGTTCCATGTCAATGTGTGCGAGGCGAGGAGAAGACCTTTCCTGATCGAGCCGACCCATTCATGCTACAGTCATAATAAGATGCAACATAGATCTACCCCATAGGTATTTGGGCAAGGTAAAGTGAAGATCTCCCGCCGGGCAAGGTGTTCGGCCCAGAGAGCGGCCAACGCTCCGTGTGTAGTATAGAGTTATTCTATATATACCGTAGTACTTCGGAACTTTGATAGCGTGATTTAGACGTCGGTCAATTTCGCTCGTGGCACAGCAACAGCGCCTGTACAGGTGTATTTGTAACCCTCCTAGGTTGAAGTTCGTTGCAGATTCACAGTACATACATATATTATACAGTAGCCACCGTACTAACCATTAAGTGTTATGAACCTATAATATAATACCACAAAGATGGATGAGAACAATTGGGTAAAGACATCATGATAAATAAATAACTAGGACTTCATATATTTTGTATTTCATGCTTTTCTTAATGTATTAAAACATGGTGAAGATTGTTATAAGTTAAATCAGATTTGTAGTACCGAAAAATGTTCAAATGAATTGTTTAATTGATCATAGTAAACTGTGACGTCACTTATATTCTTACACAACCTATATAGAAGTTCTTTTTGAAACTTCGTAAGAATAATTCTAATATACGAGTGTCTCTTACTGTTCTCATATATTATTTACTTTAAAAAGAAAATTAAAAAAAAACTTAAACCTTATCACCCAGTTAAAAGAACATCAATGTACGAGTGTCATTTACTGTCCTCTTATATTTACTTAAAAAATTAATTAAACAAAAAACCTAAACCTAGTCATTTTTATTACCAGCCAGTTGAAAAACATGTGTGCAGTTCAATCAGTTCAGAAGATTGAGACGTACGCAGAATATCAGGAGTAGCATAATTGTAGGGTTTATGTAATTAAAATATAAATATAAACACTGCATACTGTATATATTCTCATTCTCTTGCAGGCTAAATCCTATACATGTATTTTATTTTCTAGTATAAGTGCTACAAACGAGCACACAGTACACCTGATGATAAGTGGTTGCTGTGGCCCATAGACATCTACATCTATCCTCGAATACGAATCAAAATGCAGATGCGTTGTCACCCGTAACGACTAAGGTGAAATGCCTCGTTTCCAGTAAAAAAGGTATCCGGTTCTCTACACTCACCATACGAAACACAGCAGCGTTAATCTGCGATTTTACGCTGGTATTCTATGAGAGCGTGGACCTTCCCCGTTCGAGCGGACCCTATACTACTAATAAAGCTGCAGCATGGCTCTTTTTAATGTCGCTTTTAAGTTTCAAATCACAACGATTCTATAGAAGTGTTCACTTCAAAGTGTACTTACGATTTTCATGAGCGGCTGTAGAAACTGCGGCGGCGTGTACTCGTGCAGACGGAACAGCGTGGAAGGTTCACATTCCATTGTCATGCGGCCCAACGACTCCGAATATTCGATCGGACACACCAAGTACGGATATTGGGACATCAGGTAGGACAGCTGAAACAACCATATCACGTTCTATATGTTTTAGCAATCTGCTTTCTCATTCACACCCAACAATTCGTAAAATTGCCAAAATACGATTCACTTCGCCGAATCGTTTGTCATGACCGTTAATTTTAATTGGACGCCTAAAATTTATAATTTCTTTCCACTATTTAGGGTCTCGATTTACAGAGATCTTTGACACTCCAACCAAATCAGTTTCAATCTGTATACAAAGTAAAGGTTACGTTAGGTTAAGTTGGGTTCTCAATAGCTCTCCCCCCCCCCCGAACGAGTTTACGTCTTGTCGTGGCGGAGGGGGGGAGGTAGTAGCCTTGGCTTGGTCACCCGCGGTGAACAAAGAGGACACACTACACCTCAGGTCGCTCCGTGGTGTAGAGCCGGCCTAAGGTGGCCACTCCGAGCGGGCTTAGGAAGCCCACTTCGGATGTGTGTCGGTGGGCTGCAGCGAGAGGCGTGCCCTCTCCCTCTACCGCTGCAGCCGAGGTGGAGTCGCGAGGGAAGAAGAGTGTTGGTATGGCGATGCGCCACTCGCCCTATCCTCCGCGACTCTGACGGGGCCGCACCGTTGATGCGGTGGAGGTGGGCCGCGTAGGGAGAGGAGTGTCGGTATTACGAAGCGCATCTCTCCCTACCCTCCACGCCGAAACTTGGTTGGCGGTGGAGCCAAAGACCAGCTGGAGTCGGGAAAGCGAATGCTACCGAGCGCTCGAATTTCCTGGCCCCATGGCCTCCGCTTATCGGACGGGAGGGCCCGTTACGTAGGTGGAGTTGGAGGCCGTGAAGGAAGGTTTGTCTTGTGTTCCTGATGCGCTTTTCCTGAGAAGGAGAATAGGGAGAAGTTCTCCCTCAAGAAGGGGCAGCCATGGAGCGCCCAGCGCTAGTGGGGCCGCGGCTGTGTGCGAAAGCATTCCCGTGGCTCTGCCAATATGCGGCGAAGGTGGAATCATGGCGTTTTAGTCGGTGCGAGTTCAACATAACCCGTCCCTCCCCCCATGTAAAAAAGTCCTCGCTTACGAGTCTATTTCGATGACGCTATAAAGGCCGCAGGGTCAACAGCACACAATTTTCAAAAAAATTACCTCGCGCTACACTTACCGAAACGTTGTAAGGCGCGGCGGTGAGTATAATAGTACTGAATATTTAATACCTAGTGGGTTACGACTTCGAATCCCACTGATTTACAATTTATAAGACCTAGATTTTTTTCAAACTGTACTTGAATTTATTAAATACTTTAGCCATGTACTCACCACAAGTCCAAAGATGACAGTCGAAACACCCCCACCAATGAAACCCTCCCAGGTCTTCTTGGGGCTGAGCTTGATCAATGGAGTCTTTCCGAAGAAGAAGCCAAACACATAAGCCATCACGTCGTTACAAATGATCATAGATACAGGAACTATGAACCAGATTAAGCCTAAAACAAACAAAAAAACAAAAAGTTTAAATTACAGCCTATATACATCCCACTGTTGAGCACAGGCCTCCTATAATTTCTGAGAAGGTTTTAGGGCAAGAAAATATCCGCCGCGCTGCCCCAATGCGTGTTGGCGAACTTCACACGTCTTCGAAATATTTTTTTTTATTTCTCACAGACATGCAGGTTTCCTCACGATGTTTTCCTTCACCACTGAGCACGTGGTAAATCAGCACTTAAGTCAGGATCGAATCCGGGTTGCTCGCGTACTATGAAATTTACAGGGAGCACTTAGCACCTAAGCTACCACGGCTTTATTGCTACCACAGCTCTATAGATCTACCACGGCTCTAATAAACAACTAACAAAAATTAATAAATAAAAATTAAGAAAACTATTATTGTGGAGATATTGCCACAAACAAGGAGGCAATTAGCTTGATACTGATTGTTGCTCATCAATAGTACAGAGTTCCATCGGGGTAACAAACTCACAGAATACTGCAGTTCACATCACCGTAGCCTATATTACCATACAAGAAGGCACACTCAGATATTTAGTACACCAACTGTGGGTACGTCTGGCAAGACTTTTATTAAACCAAGTGACAATGACAATAAATCGATGTAGCCGAATATATCGAGCGTCTATTTCTTATTCATAAAAAATATCATAATTTAGGTACTGGTACAAATGCTGTCGCTTATTTCCTTTTTTATTACAGTATAAGGATGACAAATGAATACACAGTCCACCTGATGGTGAAGTAGTTGCTATTATGGCCCATAGACATCTACATTTATCCTCGGTTACGAATCAAAATGCAGATGCGTTGTCATCCGTGAGAACTAAGATGGAATGCCTCGTTTCCAGTAAAACAGGTCTCCGGTTCTCTACTCTCACCTTACGAAACACAGCAGCGTTAAGCTTCTATTTTATACTGATATTCTGTGAGAGCGTGGTCCTTCCCCGGTCGAGCCGACCCATTCTTGCTACAACTAAACCAGTAATATAGCTGCAGCATGGCTCTACCTCGTAAATATTTCCTTATTTAATTTCTAATTTTCATAATAATCAGAAGTCAGGGCCATATAGTTTTAACGTGAGTTTTTGAGCCTTATGCGAGCTACGTCCTTTTTGGTGTCAGTGTTCTATTGGTTTATAGTTTAATCATACGAAATGCAACATTGTTTAGAACCGAAGACCCATTTTACAGGGAACGAGGTCTTCGATCTCAGTCCGCGATGATGTAACAGCACACCTATGTACTTATATCGTTTTTATTGTTATGAATGTTTCGATGCACAATGACCAGCGTGTTTGTTTTTGTTCGAAAAAGTTTACTATTTAATACAATATTCAAGGGCAAAAGGACCCAGTATTATTACCAGCTGCAAGGCATTACGTTGTTTTTTGAAAAATAAAACACGTTTGTATTCGAATGCAACGTTGAATCAAAAATTTAAAGCGGCGGTGGAGAACTCTTGGAGATTTAATATTTCGCACGAACATTTACATTTTCTTTATTAATAAATATTCAATTGCTAACAAACACTACTTGTTTATTTCGTTTATAGTACATAGATTACTCTAAGCATAACTGCATTTTCTTAATTCTTTAAGTAGTATAAACGAAATGATTTAACTTGGCGTTAATAAAGAACGTTTGAACTGAGCAACGCAACATACATAGCAACGAAATATAGCACATAGAACATTTACACATGTGAACTTCTAAACCCCTTTTGTTGTGGTAAATGATCAACATAATTATCATACAATAGTAACGAGTTCTTTGGCCTGGTATTTTAACATATTTTGAAATCACACAATGTTTGTAATTTAGTAAATTAATTATGTCAACCTCATATTCCTAATATATAGCTGCTACTTATTACTCAGTCTCTCTATCTTATGCAACCCATTGCCAGAAAATTCATCGTTGACGCCGCAAAGGGGCGAACCTCAATTTTTCAAAAAATTACAGGAGCGCAAGAAAACATTTATTATTTCCCTGATTACTCGCCTTTTCTCATCAGAAAATTAATCTTCTTTGTAGTTTTCCGTTAAGTCTAATATATTTAATTTTCTGATGAGAAAAATCTAGAAATCGGGGAATAATAAATGTTTTCTTGCTCTCCTGTAACTTTTTGAAAAATTGAGGTTTGCCCCTTTGCGGAGTCAGCGACAAATTGTGACCTTCGTCGGTAGCATGTAAACAGTCAGGAGATAGATGTTCCATGAGGTAACGTTGAGATTATTTATTTCAAATTTTATTTTAGATATGAATATTGTATAATATTTAATGTTGTATAGTACCTTCGCTTACAACGATCATAAAAAAAACAGGTGAACATTATCGTAGTATAAAATAGACGCGAATTCCTACTTTGTACCTACCGTTCTAAATATAGTTAATTGTTTACCGGACAACATGTGCACGTAGCAAGAACTCAATTCAATGGAGCTGTCCTACATTTTTAAATGAAACCCACTCGCTACATTGGACTAGTAACACGTCATCTAAGTATATTTTTTTATCGTAAAACAATCGTAAAAATTAGTTTTATGTTTTTTGCAAAGTGAGCAGTTTATCGTTGCAATAGGTCATAAAATACTTAGCAATTATTAAAATCGAATGGCTGAAAATACTTCCAAAAAAAAATTTTTTGCGGTATTCGTCCGCTATGCTAGATAGTAAAATAATGGTCATTGTAATAAAAATTTTTGAGAAACCAATTTTTTGAAGGCTGTTATGGTGGCCAAAAATATAAGTAAAAATCAATGTATCTATATTTGATTAGGATATAAAACGTAATTGCAATCTATCTATTGAGTCTTATTGCCAATATGCCAGCTGGAAACCGGCCTTTTTGATTTTTAACCATAGGCTCAACTATGCCAGCAGGATGTGTCAAATATCAAAGGGAAAGGGAGAATCTGGTGAAAAACCGAATATTAATTTGGATGAAATAGGTTGGTTTTAATACTTGCAGAGCCACACTCAGCTATGACGGAATCATTAATCTATATATTCCTATCACCTGTAACATTGATTCCCTCTTTCTAAATACTCATGATATATATTATATGTGTAACAGAAACAAGTTATGGTACGATAAGACTGACATATCCTTGTAGGATAAAAGCCCTTTTAAATAAAGAAAGATAATTAAAAAGAAATCCCCTAGGATCAAGCAACTTGTAGACATAGTTTCAAATATCTATATAAATAAAATGATAGAGGTTTGCAGTTGTGCGTGCATCACGGATAAACTACTTGATAGATTTCAATTACATTTTCTAAGTATTATTTTTTAGACACTTGGCCCTTATCTAAAAAAAAAACTATTGCGATATCTTCATTTAATATAAAGTTGTTAAAGTTTTAAGAAACAACAATTTTTACAAGCACTACGTGTTCAGTGAGGTGTGTAAGCAACGCGAAGTCGTAAGGTATCAGCTAGTACACGATATCTTTCAACAATGTTGAATACACCGCCACTGAGAGTGTTAGTGTGTTCGACAACATATGCAAGTAAAATAAGACAACATATGAAAAGGCGACAGTGGGAAACAAATCAGAAGAATGGGCAATAACAACTAAAAATAAATAACTTCGACTGCCAACCCGCCTGCCGTTGTAACTATGGCAAATATCCATATTGCCCTACGAGGCAATCTATGGTGGAGGCCAATGTTCAGCAGTGGACTTGTGATAGGCTGCAACGGATGCTGAATATGCCAAATGGAAACGATCAAGTTGCAGTTATAACAAATCTTATATCAAGCACAATATTCCAAGATATAGGTACAATGATACGAGTACAAGTTGAACAGGTTTTCTCATATTTGATAACGGCCTCTAAATATTAATATGGATTCCCTTCTACTCACGAAAGATACATAACACAATACATATGTTCGGATTTTAACAGCACACAATGTTTTAAATCAGCTTAATAACGATGTTTCCGTAAAAATAAAAATAGAACGTTACAAAGATAAGATGGATAGACGTCACGCGGGAATTCGCATAGAACAAACTCGCGTTTACCTAGGTCACAGAATACATAATAGTCCTAAGCACAATTTTCTCTAATTGATAGTTCACATAATATTGCGAATAGTTAAAGTACAGTCATCCGCCGTGTCTCGTGATTTAAAAACATAATCGCCGCTTACTGTTCCTGTCACATACCTACAATAGGTGAAAGAAAGAGAGATATAAATATCTATATAGAGATGTTTCTATTGTCTTCCGAATCGACAAACGAGCACACAGTCCACCTGATGGTAAGTGGCTGCTATGACCCGTAGACATCTACATCTATCCTCAATAAAGAATCAAAATGCAGTTGCGTTGTCACCCGTGAGGACTAAGATGGAATGCCTCTTTTCCAGTAAAAAGGGTCTCCGATTCTCTACACTCACCATACGAAACACAGCAACTTTAAGCTGCTATTTTACGCTAGTATTCTGTGAGAGCGTGGTCCTTCCCCGGTCAAGCCGATCCATTCGTGCTACAACTATACTAATTCTAACTAAGTCATTGTCATCTAATTAACGTATTTGTCAACTTATATTAAGACATATTTTATAGTAAATTAAATTAGTAACCGTGTAAGAATATCCATTACCCCATATCGTCCCGTGGGTGTGGTAAGAGATGGCAGAGGGAAACAAACCAGTAGACGGGCAGCAACGTAATAACAACTATAAATTCATAATTTATAGTTGTTATTAAGTTGCTGCCCGGTTCGTAAATTCGTAATACTTATTTAAATCAATGAAAGTTTATGGAAGCTTCATCTGACATCTTACAATAAAAACGTAGTTAAATAATGCGGAATTTCGTACTATCGTTGTATAATTAAAAATATACTGTGAAAAGGTCACTATGAAATCTACTTAAATAAAGTCGGTATATTTTCGAGAAATTATACCGACTTTATTTACACTACAGTGTTACTCATGCAAACCCAGTCTCAATAAAAAAA